GGGCGGGCTCTGAAGAGAGTCGACGACGCGGACCGGCCCGCCGTATCGATCCTCCTCCTCCGTGCATCTGTCGTTTCCGGCCGCGTGTGAACGGCTCCCGCTACCGGTGCTCCGCGGAAGAGCCTCCTCGAACCGGACACAGGGCCGGAAACGCGCGGAACTCGGACGATCTGATCGCGTTTTATCGATCGACCGCATCTCTCGGCCCTCCGCGCCGCTCGACGAGAAATTTACGTGTCCCAATTACTGTCGGTGTCCCTATAACTGTCACTTCATTATTGTTATTATTATTATTATTATTGTTATTATTATTATTATTATTATTTTTATCATTTTACCTAATAGTGAAATAATATATAAAAAGTCGAAATGAAAAAAAGATTTTAATGCTAAACTTTTGATCATCGTTTTAGACAATAATAGGAAAACATTGCATAATTATATTTATAAATTAATGTTAACCCTTTGCAATCTAGTGGCGACTCTAAGACACCGCGAAAAATTATCATATAAAGTTTCGAAATAATTTGAATATCGTCAAATTTGTTTATATTTAGAAAACGGTTGCACGAGTCCCTCGTAATAATTTTTACGATTTTTAAAGTACTTGCGATAAAAATCGTTCAAATAAAAGTTGAGCAGTTTTCAATTTCACGTTTTAATGATAAGTTGTTATCATTCATTCAAGCTGATTGTCATGTTTTTGTTGGAACTTTGTCCACGTTACAGTCGTCAGTAATTGGTACGACGACATAACGCATTACAGGCACAGTATACCCAGCGTAATTAACCTTAATCTAGGCCACCGGTTTGAAATCTGTTCCAGTTGAAATTTGCTCGCTTGATTGAAATCGTAATTATAATTTGAATATTATAATGAGTTTATTATATATATAATAAGTAATATGCCTGAAAACGGATTATTTTGATATAATAAATTATATGATATTAATCGTTATTATTATTTTATTAATTTATATATATATATGGATATTGATTATTAATTTTTATTATTAATTATTGGATGCGAACGAAAATGCGACCGTTCACGAAGACAACACATTTCATTCAAAATTCGTTGAATTTTGCATCAGTTGTAAAAGAATCGAATTAAGATATGAGACTTTTGCGTAAAGGACGAGAATAGGTGTTGGAATTGTTTAAACCAAGCAGGGTTGAACTGAGAATTATTGTTTTTAGGCACGCCGCCTTTCCTTCGACGACGTAAAAGAATTTTTAACGTGTCGTTGAACTTTCCGTTAGCGCCTTGTTCTTGAGAATTGAATGTGGGATGACGACTTGGTTGACGAATTTAATTAGCACGTTTGTTCACGGACATACGATGTTTGGACTTTGCGCTTAGCGCGGGTTTCAGGTGGATGGAAGCAAGCCGATTCCGCTTGTGTCTTCCATAGTAACTCTTAAGCTATACTCATTTATTTGTGCGACAAGCTAACTTTAGAAATAACTACCTTACGTAGATCACTAGAAAGATCTAGTAATGATCTAGGGTAGATGTCCCAATCTCTGTGCATGACCCAATTACTGTATAGGTCCCAAATTACTGTATAGGTCCCAATTACTGCATAGGTCCCAATTACTGCATAGGTCCCAATTACTGCATAGGTCCCAAATTACTGCATAGGTCCCAATTACTGCGTACGTCCAAATTACTGTGCATGTTCCATATATGTATTAATAAGTATCGATACGAAATATCGATACAATTCATACGCATTGATATAAAATATCGCATCGCTATCACTCATCGTCGGAACTCAGAAAACGGGGGGGGGGGGGGCGCTTGGAGTACGCGGAACGAAATCACATACGTGGAATTGTTTTTCCAACACCATGAGAATTGTATCGCTGAGCGATCCCGAAGACCGGAGTGTCCCAAGGCAAACTAAGCACTGCACCTCTCGTGCAAACGCGGCAACGGGTTAGCGCCGCGCCGACAATCGCGATGAAAATTTGTCAAGCGCGTCATTACCGGTAATTACAACGACGATATCGCGAATCGGGCCGATGTAAAAGTCAAGATACAAGAGGCGGCCGACGGTCGTTAGGAGTCACGCGAGCCGCAGACAGTCTATACATCTATACCAACGGGGCACGTTGACTCCACTCTGCACGTGCAAGTTATGCTCTATTGCAAGAATGCAGAACAATGTAGAACAGGGGTGTCAAACTCGCGGCCCGAGATGAACATTTTTGCGGCCCAGTCAATATATCCGACGCAAAGTAAAAATAAAATAGAAATGTGAATCAGAAATTTTGAAAGTAGTCTCGGCCAATCAAATTTCTCCCGAAATAGGAAAGATAGTATCAGAGAAGAGATGTCAAGTATCAGGACGTAAACAATAATTTAACTTTATATATGTTTATTACAATGTACTAGTCAAAATGAAAATATTTGTTTTTATGAAAATTGATCTTTTTTTTGCGGCCCACCTAAAGTTAAGCATTGTTTATTTGGCCCAAGTTAGCTTTTGAGTTTGACACCCCTGATGTAGAACGTCGATGAGGAACCCCTTCGGTCGCGATTACGCTACAGATGCGACCATCGACTGTATACATAGATGAAATTATTGATATTATATTTTCATGATATATCGATAATACCGATTTCTCTTAATTTCCAACCAGTGTTGCCATATATATTAGGTCTACCGGAAAGTTCTGTCCGTTTTTGAATTGAAATATAACACAATTTTCATACATTTAATAATATTTATTGTAGAATATACTTTCCATCGTTACTTATGACTTCTTGCCAGCGTGATGGCAACTTGTAAATGCCATTTTTAAAAAATAGTTGCCGATTGTCAACAATTATAAAAACGAGGTGCAAGGCTCAAATCTCCTCTTTCCAAATTGTCCATTTTTGTTTACAAGCTGAAAGAAAATTGGGGAGAATTTACTATATTTGGCAATGTTGCTTTTACTATCCATAATGTTCAAAAGAATGAACGCAAAGTAAGTATTGATCTATAAAAATAACAATTCTTTTCGTATTGTATTTGGCAGAATATTTGATTTGTTGAAGAGAACGTCTCATATATATTAGGTCTACCGGAAAGTTCTGTCCGTTTTTGAATTGAAATATAACACAATTTTCATACATTTAATAATATTTATTGTAGAATATACTTTCCATCGTTACTTATGACTTCTTGCCAGCGCGATGGCAACTTGTAAATGCCATTTTTAAAAAATGATTTATTCTTAGAGGCGAAGAACTCAACCAGTGCTTGGTTGACATCAGCTTCAGTTTTGAATTTTTTTTCCTGTAAAAAGTTTTGCAAAGAGAGAAACAAGCGATAATCGGAGGTTGCTAGGTCTGGGGAGTATGGTGGATGCGACAGAATTTCCCAGCCTAGCTCTGCGATTTTCTGACGAGTCGCCAAAGCAGCATGTGATCTGGCATTATCATCGGTAGCCATGTTTTCACGATCGCGTCTCGCTTAATAATGACATGAGACATCTTTGTTTCAGTTTATTTAGGAGAGTACATGTGTGTGAATGCAATGATAAAGAGAGATAGTCATATATGTCTCGAATCAACATGTGCATATGGATTGAAACTTGAAGTGACACTATCGGACAGAACTTTCCGGTAGACCTAATATGTACTGGACTTTTCTTGCCGCTTGTTACACCTCTTTGCTACTTCTGCGATCTAATGTTATACTATTGTAATACAGGGACTTGCTACCGTTGGTCAAATAAATATTATTATTGTTATTATTATTGTAATAATAATGATAATAATGTTTATCATTTTAACCGGATGAAACCTTCGCTATACAATACAAACATACAATAGAAATCAAAGTGTAAACGAAGAAAGAACGAAAAGTTATGGATATGATATATAATGATATGTATTATGTAACGAATATTATGGATATGATATGACATAATAAAGCGAAGCGTTAGGAATCCAGGTATCTGAAGATAAGCGAGAAGCTCGTAATATCATTAAGATATCGTTAAGACGAATCGAAAGGGGCCAGGCTTGTTGAATATATATATGTTGATGCTTCGAATAATAATCAGTCCGATGAGGAACATCGTTCTCTATGCATTTTTTTTCATATACTAATGTAAATTCACGTGACACAATTTTCTAATAATAAAATCGAGCAAAACTGAACAAATTTAAAGTGATTTTATTACAATTGATAGGTTACGTTCGATCCTAACGTCTTAGCGATATCTTCACGATGTGATCGATATATTGTTATTTATATTTATCGATATATTATTATTTTATTATTATCAATTATAGTTTCCCGTTTTTCTCTTTTACTGCCATGTAATTCACATTCATTGCTATTATCATTATTGATAATTTGATTTCCATTTCTTTGACACTACAGTTCACGGTTTTCTTTCTTTCTATTGTTTGCAAATCTTCTTAAACTTTTCGTAACAGAGGGAATTTCCCAGTTTACATGTATCAATAAATATTATTATTATATTGGATAATGTTTCGATATTATCGATATATCGAAATATCGATATTGTTTCGATATTATCGATACTTATCGTAAATATCGTGGATACATTTGAATTCTATCGATATATTATCGATAATGTTGATCATAAAAATTAATCATTAAAATTTTATACATCTTATAATTAATTTTTACGTCGTAACATAAAATTCCTCATTCGCCCAGTATAAAAGCACTTTGTCCGTTAAATACATAGATAAACGAATAAATAAATAAATAAAAGGATACATCAGAATATCGATAATGTTTCGATACAATTGACATTTATCGATAACATCGTCGACAGTGACATCACTAGATTTCACGACGCCGGAGTATCGAACAAGCTTTCGAGGAAGCTCTCGAGCTTCCTCATCGAGACGGTCGTTCGTCGAGCTAATTACCCTAATTGCGCCTATCTCCTCGGATAGACGACACGCCGTACTACGATTACGTGTATTGTCGACGTACAGCTGATCGTTTTTGGTTTGTTTGCAGAGGCGGCGTAACCGAGGAACACTATGGCGGTGTTTGGCTTGGTCTCGGCTGTGGCCGGGTTCGTCAAGGTACGGTACCTCGTGGACAAGGCGATAATCGATAACATGGTGTTCAGGGCCCATTACAGAATCACGTCCGCGATTCTGTTCGCCTGTTGCATCATCGTGACCGCCAATAACCTGATAGGTAAGCACACCCGTTACATCGAACTTTCGTAGAACCCGGCGGGAACAACTCCGGCGAACTTCGATCGATGGTTGTTGGGCCACTAGGAGGGCTTTCAGGCGCATCCAGGAACGAACCGCGAAGTTTATTGCCACGGATTTGCGCCAACTGCCGTTGATAAAGCCGCTTTCATTCGGTCGAGGGTGACTCGAACCGCGGGATGGTCTACTTAGGAAGACGTCGTAGTTTCGGGTCTTTCGACTACGGACGTAGGAAAGCGTTTTTCTTGCAACTTATCTATGTCGTTTAGGTTGTAATTTGTTAATGTTCTGGGATTTTTAGGTAGATGGTTATGTCGAGATTGGTTAAGATTTTAGAGAAGAATATATGTGTGTAGACTCGTGATCCTCGCTTGGGATTTTTTTTTTTTGGGTTGGCAACTAAGTAATTGCCGATTTCATTCGCAAAGATCCCACAGATATTGTGAGATAACATTTTTAAAAATCCCATAGGACGTTCACAGGACCTTTCACAGGAACGCCTTGAAAAATCTCATGAACAACTCTTCTAAGTAGAAACCTCGCAAGAAGCACTTTTAGGAGACCCACAAAAAAAAGCCTCACAAAATCCAACAAAAGCAACTATTGTACAATAGAAATCTGTGCTTATAGAAAATTCTTGTCTTACTCCTATAATTGTAACGCCGCTGAACAGCTGAGGTTCTTCCGACTAAAATAATTCCAAACACGATGAAAATCTGACTCCGTTCATTGAATAGCTCATTCTTGTACAGGGTGAATCACGTAAATCGCACACCTCAAATTACTTGCAATTGGTTATGATCACGAAAACTTGAAAATCTCTTTACGTAAAAGAACCTTTACTCACTTCTGAAACCATGTACTTGAAAAATTTTCATAAAAAGCATAGTATAAAAGTTATTTGCGACCCACCCCTTATAATAAACGTAGTTCAATGTCTATCGTGTTTGGGTTCATTTTAATCAGAAGAATCTCAGCTATCCAATGGTCTTACCCAATATTATTGTGCGACTGGAAGAAAGTTTTGTTATCGATCTTTGTGTACTGTTTTGTTCATCTTTCGACTGAAGTTATGAATATTTTCGTGTGGACTGATTCAAACTTGTGGCTGTTGTAAACGATCGATCTTGAACTAGATAGTCCCATTTGGTTCTTGCTTTGACTTCAGAAT